GGAGAGGGTGGGAAGGCTGGCGAGTGGAGGAGAGTGGGGGCTGGAAGCCCGTTGCCATGGCTACCAAGAGTTCCTTGGGGAGCTTTTGCCACGTCTGTGGGTCTCACCAGAGCCCCGTCTTCCCCCAAAGAGGCTCTCTCAGCCAGGTATTGTTGATTCCCTGTAATGCAAGATGCAATACTGGTCCCATGGAATGAATGTGGTAACAGCGAAGGAGCCACGGACTGTTTCTGCTGGGTTGCATCCCTTGACTTCACCTGAACTGCCTGCCCAGTGCTCCTTACCTGGCTTTCCTCGCTGGGAAAATGTGCTGATGCCTTTCTGTAGAAGCAAAATTAATACATACTGTGAATTTCCCAGTACGTCTGAATGGGAGGTGATCATTGTGTGGGGATCAAAAGGCTCTTTTCAGGATCTAGAGAAACGTTTGCTGTTGGACTTGTAATAAGAGCTTTTATTTTGGAAGCGTTGGAACTGTAGATGGGGGGCGAACCAGAGATTGAAGGTTTACTGTAGTCTTGCTCTTTCCTATTGTTTGTTTCCGCTCCAGTCAGCCATGATCTCAGAGAAGAAAGAGGCTCATCTGTTTCCTGGGGCTGTTGCATGGTGGTGGCTTATGTGCGGGCACTTAGAGGGCGGAAGTACTGCAGCAGAGGATGGGTGTCCGCCAGTGCACTGAGCTAGCTGGGGCGCTCAGAGTCCTTCCTCCCTCCATTCTCCCCCCGCTCCCCCCCAATTCTCTTGCAGGTCTTTAAGATGCTCAGCAACAAGGAATCTCTGGATCAGATCATCGTGGCCACCCCAGGCCTCAGCAGTGATCCCATTGCTCTTGGTAAGTGCAGGACCAAACTCGAAGGAATGGGGGTTTTGGAGAAGGCGTTCCCGGGAGAAGACAATGATCCTAAGGAGATGTTGACAGTCTTTTCAGAACCACTGGTCTTGTGGGGAGAGGGGGTAACCGAGATGTATTTCATATACCCAGCCCACCCAGGGCTGTCAGTCCTGCAGGGAAAGCACAGGCTAACCTCAAAAGTGAGGGTGCGAGGCTGCCGGATGAGGGCATGGTTAGCCCAGACCATGGCCCCCGGGGAAGACTTCTGCACACCTTTCAGGATAAGGGAAGCCCCCGGAGACGTGGGGAAAGCCTGGCGTGTCAGCATTCAGTATGCAGCTTAAGTGCAGGGGAGAGGTGGGCAGCAGGGGCAAAGGTGGGGTGCACTTGGGTTGTGCCGTGTGGCACTTGGTTTCCTCCAGTTCTCACGAGTGCCGCGTCCTCGATGAGCTAGTGGCTCTGAGGCTGAACCCTCTTGGGTCTGTGGCCCGCAGCTCCAGCCCTCCCGAGGCTGGCTAGATTTCTGGTCTCTCAGGTAAGCCCCATTCTCCTCCAGGGGTTCTCCAGGACAAGGATCTCTTCTCTGTCTTTGCTGATCCCAACATGCTGGATACGTAAGTGTAGCCATCTTATTTCAGGGTACCCTCCCTCCCCGCCCCCCCCCCTTCGGTTGGGCTGGAAACCTCATTGTTGTCCCGCATTTTCTCTTGGAGCCCCTCTCCCATGTGTCCCCGAGTCTCCCTTCTAAATATATTAGGAGGTGAGAAACAGCAGGGGAGCGATAGCACCCAGGGGCAGGGGCACGTGGAGATGTTCAGATGGAGCAGGGCTCTGAGTGGGTGGCTTTGCGGGCTGGGCTCAGTTTAGCTCTTTTCAGTACCTAGTAGAGAGCCTTTGGAGGATTTTTAGCTTGTTAAGCAGATACATAGGTCCTACGATTTTAGAGCTAGGCTGGAGAGTAGAAATGATGTCCCCTTATTTTGCAAGCTCAGAAAACAGCCCCACCCTGGGAAGAGAGGGTCCTGTCAAAGGTTGTCCAGGGAAGCAGAGATGGAGTGGAGACCAGAGGCTGACCTCTGAGCCTCCCAGATGGTATATGTCCCATCGTGCCTTGAGGAGGGGAAGGTGAGGTATTTGCAGTGGAGGCCAGAACTGAAGGGTGGAGGGCAGAGCAGCAGGAGGACAAAGCCCATTGGAGGGAGGTGCTGGAGACAGATTTCCGTGCAGGCACAGGCATAGTGACGGGTGTGCGGGGGCTCCCCAGAACTCCTGTTGCAGCTGGGGTTCTCTGACCTTCTAGTCACCTAGGTTTCTTCCTGTCTCTGTTGCAGGTTGGTGCCTGCTCACCCGGCTCTGGTCAATGCCATTGTCCTGGTCCTGCACTCGGTGGCAGGGAGCACCCCCTTGCCAGGGGCCGACTCCTCTTCCCGGAGCATGCCCTCCAGCTCGTACCGGGACATGCCAGGTGAGCCCCAAGAGAGCCTCAGCTTTGGCCCCCGAAGGGTGGGCAGAGGCCCAGGGATTTGCTTTACTCAGCAGCTATGTATAGCGCTGGCAGAGGGTGTTCCTTGGGAACTCTCGGTTTGAGTCAGGGAGTGCATCTGTCCTGTAATTTTCCAAGGGGAGAGAGGAAAATAGGAATTTGGAGAGTATTTGAGCTGAGATTCTGGAGCTCCGCCTGTGCCTTTCTGTTCTTCCTGAAATCTGTTCTCCTCCTCCAGGTGGCTTCCTGTTTGAAGGGCTCTCTGATGACGAGGATGACTTTCACCCTGTAAGTGGCCTGGCTGCCTGCCCTTTGAGGGAGATGTGTAGTACCCCCAGGCTGGGAGGTGGTCATAGGCCTTTTGGGGGCCAAGTCTCGCTTGGGAAGTCTCCCCAGAACTGTTCTTATCACAGGGGGTGGGGTTCATCTGAGAACCTCATTGTGTCCCCTCCCTGATTCTGGGCACCTCCTTTCCCCAGAGTGCCAGATCCACACCATCCAGCAGCACTCCCAGCTCCCGTCCAGCTTCCCTGGGGTACAGTGGCGCTGCCGGACCCCGACCCATCACCCAGAGCGAGCTGGCCACCGCTCTGGCCCTGGCCAGCACTCCGGAGAGCAGCTCTCACACCCCGACTCCTGGCACCCAGGTATGGTGAGAGGGCTGGAAGATCGGGGCCTGAAGGTCAGTGAAGACTGGGCCCCAGGGGCAGAGCTCCCCAGGGGTAGAGTGGCTTACCTTGCTGATCTGACTGGAGCGGTCTGGTTGGCGCTGAGCTCTGCCTGGAGCCTTGGGGGGTGTCCCACTGCAGCTCTGACATCCCCCCACTTACCTCTGGGGCTCAGAGCCTGGAGTCTAGCGTGGTCCCGATGACTCCTAGGAGTTCAGAATGTCCCCTCCCCAGTGTGCCCTCACCTCTGAAAGTGACCAGACATTGCAGGTCTAAATGTTCCTGAGGATGGTCAGTCCAGCTTCCAAGGCCATCTCTCCTAGCGCTCGGGTCCTAGGCTGGGTCAGGGGACTCAATTCCATTTCCCTGCAGTGAAGGAGAATGGAATCATCCCTGCATAGAGAGCTTTTAAGTTCTTCTGAATGATTATCTCATGCACACCCCTTGTTGGGAGGCAGTAGTTGGGCACCCCAAGGCATGATGGGGTGATGTGACAGCAGTGGGAGCAGTCTGGGAGAAACGGATGGCTCTGAGGGTGGCGCTGACCACTGGTTTGTCTCTAGGGTCATTCCTCAGGGACCTCACCAATGTCCTCCAGTGTCCAGTCAGGGACACCCATCACTAATGACCTCTTCAGCCAAGCCCTACAACACGCCCTGCAGGCCTCCGGGCAGCCCAGCCTTCAGGTCAGTCTCCCGCTCTCCTGTCCATGCGCCTTGAGTGCCTTTAGATATTGAGCTTTTGTCTGCTCTCTGGAGGGCCTTCCCACATGGCATGCTGCGCTTGAGGAGTCCCCAGAGCCTGGCAGAGTGACAGGAGAGGGTGTTCCCACCAAGGGCAGCTGTCCCTGCAGCAGGGACCATGCTGGATGGCACTGACACCTGGCTTGGGCGCTAACTGAGTTTAGTCAGGAGTCATTTAGTCACTCCATGAGCACCGGCTGAGCATGGAGTAGGCATAACCGGGCCTGGGTCTGGCTGTTGGGGCAGAGATGAGTCTGTTCTTATCCTGCCGTGGAGGGGCACGGGGCGGTTCCTGCTCCAGGGGGAGCAAAGGGCCTTGAGGTAAGGGCCTGGGTCAGACATGACATTCCTAAGGAAGGGCTGTTTGCACTGACTGTCAGAGCCAGCTAGAGGTTGGCCAGGTGAGGAAGGGGCTGTTTAAGGGGGTGTCCACACAGGAAGAACGATCTGTTTAAACAGCTGAGTGGAGTCTATGTGACATACGCAAGACTACAGGCCAGAAAGCAGTGCGTAGCGTCCTGAGGTTGGCTAGAGAAAAGGAGAGCGGGAACTTGAGTGTGAGGGCCTGGAGCCTGGGCCCAGGAGGTTAGACCTGATCTGCCAGTCACCAGGGAGCCAGGGCAGGTTCAGGCAGGAGCTCCGCCATCCACGGTGCTTCATGGAAAGGTCACCCTGGCAGCTGAATACAAGACCCAAGGGCTCAGTGCTTCCTGCTTGTCGCCAGGTACCAGCTGTTTCTCTGCTCTGTCCTTTACTCCTCGCAGTGGGCCGGGGGAGGAGAGGGCACCATTCCAGGAACTTGTCCAGGGCCGTAAAGCCAGCAGTGTTGGAGGCAGGGTTCGAGCTCATGCTCGCGCTAATGGCGTGCTCTCCCCCAAATGGCCCTGGGGCCAGTGAGGGGAACAGGACCCCCAGACAGCTTTCTTTCCATGCCTTCATCTTCCCCAGCTCAGTGCCCGGGCACTGTGCTCCCCAGCCCAGCAGTGTTCGCGCCCTCTACCTGGCCTGTGATGTGAGTCTAGGGTGGTTTGTGTGATTTCTTAAAAACCCTCCCCATCCTACTCTTGCCTGCCTGCCTCTCTGAATTTGCATTTCTTCCCACGGCCTTCTCCTTCCCACATGTGAACGTGCCACTTTTCCTGCATTGTGCATGTCCTCCTTGGTGAGAGAGAGATGCTAGTGAGACTATGAAAGCACTAGAAGAAAACATGGGGAATGTCTTTAAACCCTTACAGTAGAGAAGGCCTTGAAAGGCAACATCTAAGAGCCATTAAATAAAGTAATAAATTTTGAATTCATGAAAGTGACAATTTCTGTTCAGCAAACCAGCCGGCCAGCCAAATACACAGAAATAAGAGGCAAGATCTGTAGCATTCATCGAAGGCCAACATCTCCCTGACACGTAGACGTTCTAGGAACTTAGGACCAACAACTCCAGAGAAAAACAGACTATTTCAGGAAAAGGAAGTTCCGGTGACTCTTAAGGTGGATAATTCCTTGCAGTCCCATTTCTCAGAATTGATCCTAGAGATGTGTGGACATGTAGAACACGACATCTGTGAAGGCAGCGTTATTTGTCATGGCAGGAGATTGGAGGTGCCCCGTTAGGGTCCATTTCAGAACTTCGGCAGCTTGGAATATCACACACTCAGGACTTCATGTACTAGCAGGGAGTGGTCTCCAGGGTGTGTGGATTTTTGTTAAAAAGGGTGGGGCTAGATATAGAGAGGAGTGCAAAAAAAGAGTTCCTGTCAGTTAATCTGAGCAGTCCATGCATGTTTCTATTCCTCGGGGAAATAAAAGCACTTACGTGTGGTGGGGTGAGGGGTGAGAGTCAGGCTTCCACTCTCTAGTATGGTCATTGCCAGAACTAATTTGAAAATTTGTCCCCCTCCGGGGAGAGGGTGGTGGTGGTGGTGGTGGTGGGGTGTGTGTGTGTGTGTGTGTGTGTGTGTGTCCCCACATAGGCGCAGGAAGTAATTTAATTGTTTGAAATTTAGGTAAGTCATTTGTGCTTTCTCTTTGATCTTTCTGTTAAAGTTTTTCCTTTTTTAATGAGAAACTTTTATTCTCTGAACCCTTGAGCTTTCTCGTTTTTCTGGAGGCCCCTTGTTTGGGGGTGTTTTCACAGCTTTGCCGTGGGAACTCGGCTTCCTCACACTCTGAAAGGACAGACCTAACCAAAGGAGTCTCCGTTGGGGCCCAGCTAACAGTGTCTGCCTGGTCCTGTCTTTCTACAGAGCCAGTGGCAACCCCAGCTGCAGCAGCTGCGTGACATGGGCATCCAGGACGATGAGCTGAGTCTGCGGGCCCTGCAGGCCACCGGTGGGGACATCCAGGCGGCCCTGGAGCTCATCTTTGCTGGAGGAGCCCCATGAACTCTATGCTCCTCCTGCGCTCCCAGCTAACTGCCAGGCAGCTGCCCATGCGGGGGCACTCCTAAAGGTGCCCCCATCTCTCCTCTCCCCAATACATCTTGTGATCGACTGCTTTGTCCATGCCTGGCTCTCTGGCTGGTCTGAGTTGGCGGGGAAGTATGGTGTGTGGGCTTTGCTGTCAAAGGGGCGCTGTGGCATCATGGAGCAGGCCTGGGCCCCAGGCAGAGAATTTTAGAACCACTTCACGGCTGCTGTGTGACACCCACATTCACTTTCTGGAGACTCTTTTTCCCGTCATAGCCCTGGCCTTTTGGTGCTCTGGGTGGTGGCCTCCTCAGGACGTGCCCTGCAGCAGGGCTATTGCCAGGTCTTCAGGGTGGTGCTGGGTTAGAGCTCAGGCCATAAGAGGCTTGTGCTTCTGAGATGACCACAGTCTGGGGAGTGGCCAGGTGCACTTTGTGGGGGTGCAGGGAGGGCAGCTTGCCTTCATCATTCCCTCTCTCGAAGGTTTCCGGAAGATTCCCTGTGCCTCCCTGGCCTAGCCCCACCTGGTGTTCCTTGATGCCTACTCTGTAGTCATGCCAGAATCCAGGCCTCAGCGCTACGCCAGGAGGCAGGGCCCTCTTCTCAGTCCCAGAGGCATGGATTCAAGAGCAGTTAAGTAATAATATCAAAACACCACCACCTGAACAGGGCCCAGTTTTCATATGGAAGAGAGGGCACCAGCCCCAGGCTGCTGCTCCATCTGCCCGAGCCTCGTTTCCCCTGGCACAGCGCTCCCTGCCATGCTGCCATGTAGACATGGCCAAGTTCAGCAGTGGATTTCGTGTGCTTTAAATACTTTGTCAGAGGAAAAAACCCTTCCCGTCAGATGGTGTTGCAGCAGAAAGGCATTCTGAGGTGACCCTGTGCCCTGAGCTCCTGGTGGACGTTCAGTGCAGCATCTGCCGGTGCAGTCATTTGGCTTCACTTGTCACCTCCTGGGCCTAGAGGCTTACCGGTGCTGAGCACAGCCTTCTCTGTCCGATGGTGCGCTCACACGGTTCCCCGTGACTCCTTTCTGCCTGAGGGACTGCCCAGAGCAGGCCTCCCCCTCTGCTCCATTAGGGCTCCAGAGACTTGAGGAGAGTAGTTTTGCTTTGCCCTTTGACCTGGCCTGGCTTTGGTCCCCAGCATGTCCTGTCCTTCAGAATGACCTCCAGTTCATCAGCTATCCTCAAGGGAGGTGCTCGGGGAGGGAGCCCACCCTTCCAGAGAGGGCCCAAGCAGCACATTGTTCTTTCCTTCCAGAGAACGAAAAGTCTCTGCATAGCCTCAATCCCAGAATTAATGTCGGGAGGTGTTTGCCTTGGCAGCAAAGACTCGGCCCTCACCAGACCTCTTGGTGCCTTGGGGGCCTGCTGGAGCCCAGCTGCCTGCTGTGGTTCAGGGCAAAGACCAGCAAACTCTGTCTTCGAACCCCTGTGTCTTGCTTGTTTGCGGTGTAGACAAAGGCCAGTTCCATCCTCATGGGCCTGCCTTGGCCAAATGGGGCTGACGCAGCCTTTCCTGTCCCCAGGATCCCGCCTGCCTAGAGCTGGTTTCCATTCTGTGGCAACTCGTACCCTGCCCCTGGGGACTACCTTCAAAGGCATTTGGGTTACCCTGCCTATCCCTGGAACTGACCCCCAAATACCAGTTCCACTGCTTCCCAGAATCGAGCCACCCCCCGGTTTCCTTTTCCCTTCTTTGTCAGCTCTTTCCTCCAGGGGCTTGGCAAGCTGACTTTGCTTCCTGTGACCCTGTGTTAAATACTAGTGCGTTGCGTCTAATGGGTGCCCCCACTGCGCCTGGGGCTTTCCATGGGCCAAGGACTCCTTTCTCACCATTCTCCCCTTCTCCCTTTCAAAAATGCCCACTCAGTCTCGGCTCCGTGCCAGGACAGACTGTGGGAGCCTGGTTCCCACAGGGCCCTGGCCCTGGGAAGACAGACGGATGTGTTTGCACCAAAGCCTTAGGAGGCAGGGCAAGTGCAGTGGGCTTGGCGCTCACGGGACGGGGTGCTGTGGGCTGGGGTTAGGTGTGCGTGTCGCACTTGTGAGATCTTGGAGACGACAGCATCTAAACTGAGGCGTGAAGGGTGGGAGGTGGGCAGGATGGGGTACATGCCAGGGGGCTGGAGTCGGAGAGCAGGGCTCCTGCAGCCTGTGTGTCAGGGTGGATTTTGAGGTAGGCAGGGGCTAGATCATGTCAAGGCGTGAAAGGAGTTTGGCGTGGCCCTAGAGACAGGGTAGTCTGGGGAATTGGAATCAGGAGAGGGGCAGGTGTGTGACTAGATGGGAAAACGGGGCGTGTGAGGAAGGCCGTGAAGAAACTGATCCCCTTGGAACGAATAGAGGTGGCAGGGGAAGAGGAGTGGTAGGCAGAGGGGTCACATCTTGGGGTTACATCTTGGGAAAGGTGATGGAGGAACCTCAAGCTTCAGAGAGGTGAAGTCGGCAGCCGGCGGTCTCGGTCAGGCAATGGACACGTTGGTCTTAGAAGCTCAGGTTTGTCTCATGGCAAAGCTGGCATCCTTCCCAGCGTTCCCGTGGCCTTCGAGCGTGGAATGGGCTGATCAGGCCAGGAGCTTGGACCTTATCCTGAGGGCAGAGAGCTCCCCTTGGATGGCTTGACAGGGCAGCGGGGGACGAGCTTCACGTGTGACCATCCTCTGACAGCTGCGTGGAGGCTGCGTTTGTGGGAAGTGAGACTGGGTGTGGGAGGCCAGCTAGGGGGCTCGCTGCCTCCAGATGGGACGCGGTGGGGGCCCGGGCTGGAGCTGCAGCAGGGGGCTGGGTGGAGGGAGGATGCGAGATGTGAAAGACAAACCAGATCTGGGGGGCGAGCAAGCAGGCAGGATGTGCGTGGGTTGATGGCGGTTAGGACTGGGAATGCAACACCAGTTTTGGGCAACTTGAGCTGGAGGTGCCGTGGACGGTGGGGGTGGGGGGAGGGGCATCTCGTTCATGAATTTGGTTTGGATAGTTCTAGACTGTAGATAATGAGCAGGAAGTTTTAAGTTGGCTATTAGGCCTGTGTCCTGTGAGAGGGAAATTTAACTTTTTAGGGAACGGTGGAGGAGAGGGGACACCCACTAAGAAGTTCAACTTTATAGGACATGAGGACTGAGTGGTGTGGAACACGGAAAGGGGGGGCTCTGCTGCTTCTGGGAAGGCCAGAGCAAGAGTGGTCCAAACTGACGGAGTGGAGGAGTGGAAGAAACTGACAAAGGGGATGTGGTGAGCCTTGTGATATCCCACAGAGAAGCCCAGAACAATGGCTGACCTTGAACTTAACCAGTTTGAGCCACGGTGACTTGGGGGAGATGTTGCTTTGGAACCAGAGCCCAATCACAGAGGTTGAGACCTGAATAGGTGGGGGGCAGTGGAGGCAGGGAGGGCAGAGAGCTCTGGAGAACCTTGCGGGAGAGGAGTTGGAAAGAGGTGGTGGTGGTGGAAGGGAGATGGGATTGAGAATGAGCTTTTGCAGTTCAGCAGAGGTGAAGTTGGAATTGATCACGAGAACTTTTCTAGGAAGCTCGGGGGGAAAAATAGGAAGAGACCCCAAAATAGAATATGCAAATATGCAGAGATGGGTGAGTTCTGAACAGATCCCTTCTCCTGATATAACTCAGATTTGGCTGGGGTGGCATGGGCTGGGCTGGCACAGCTTGCTGGGCACATGGGCCCGGGTTCTGCTCCTCGCCTCAGTCCCATCTGGCCTGGGCCCCAGACCAAGCTTGCAGAGCCCTACCCTGAGGTGGCCTCTTGTTGCCTCTGCCACAGGCCTTGGCAGTGAATGTCTGGGGAAGATGTTTGGGTTTTTTTGGGGGGCCTCCCTCATTTGTTTACCCAGTGCCCCAGGCCCTGTCTCGCTCCACAATCACTACTGACAGGATTCAGCTTTTTCTGCTAGAAATGCCTTCTTCAGAGACCCAGGCACTGCCCTGCTCTGTCTTGGCAAAATTAGCTAACAGCAATGCAGTACAGTAGTGCTCATTTATCAAGCACCCTCTGTGCCAGTGATGGAGCTCGGCACTCACATATGCCACCTCAGTTGATCCTCTTAACAACCCTGAAAGTAGATATTATTATCCTCTTTTACAGATGAGTGCTTCCTGTTAACAGGATGTGCCTGTGCTGGGAAACTGGCCTTTCCAGGGCTTCGGTGGGACAGGATCAGCACGAGTCCATCACTGTACCCACCTGGGGCCTAGCTCCCTCTCAGGGGGGCTGAAGCGTCTGCTTACCGCTCGTCCTTCCAGGAAGTGGCTGCTCTTGGAAAGTCTTAGAGGGGAATCGGGCTTCTAAGTCAGACTGACCACGGTTTAGGGATTTTTTCCCCAGACAACCTAACCTTTTGGAAAATGTCCTGTTTCCCCCTCAATTTATGTAGTGAATACATCACAAGGTGTGCATCAGAGATGCCAGGGCACTCAGAGTTGAACTGGTGGGTATTCTAGATGACTGACAGCATCCTAACAATGAGGCAACCATAACAAAAAAAGGATAGGAACGGGGACAGTCCTGTAGTGGGCACTAGACAATAAATTGCTCTCGTGGGATGGAGCCACATCTTCCCCTCCTAGACTCAGATAGAAACTCCTAATATTTCTCAACACAGCGGCCCAGAAAGCCATTGTTGATGGTGGAGATTTGGCCCAAGCATGACCCCGGGCTGAGACCAATAGGAATTGACAGCCTGATGTCTCAGCCCAGTGCAGCCAGGCCTTTGGAGGAGCTGGAATCAGGAGCAAGAGGCCAGCCTTTCCAGCCCTTTACTGCTCAGCCACTCCTCCAGGTGTTAGTTCTCCAGGTTCAAGGTCCCATCTCTCACGCAGAGGGACAAAACCTGACTCCTGAGCACTTGGGGGGGTCTCAGTGAAAGTTCATTAAATGTCTGACTGATGACATTTAGGACTCAGCGAGGATGAGGGACTGAGTCTCATGAAGGACCTAGCTAGAACTGAGGTTATTTACCCAGGAAAAAAGTAGATTTAGAAGGGCATGACTTCCATGTTGAAATCCCGTAGGGCCCCATTTCAAGAAGAGGGATTACCTGTGTCTGTGTTTCCTGGGAGGGGAGATCTAGGGCCTTTGGGTAGGAGTCTTCCAATGGGGAAGAAAGAAGGCTTTGTGCCAGAGCTAAGCAAGACAGGCAGGGCCGCCTTGGGGATGAGCTCATATCACTAGAGTTATGTGAGGAGCCGAGGCCTCATGACTTTGTGGGGGCTGTAGTGTAGTTGGACTGAATGATTTCTGAGAGTTACTTCTGTTCCTAAGAATTAGGGTTCTTGGATCACTGTATCCATGAAAAAAAATGGATGGCAGGGGACTACCTGTCTGCACGTGCTTCTCTTCCTCACTCAGGCAGGCCCCGCAGGCTCACATCAGAGCTGGGAGGGTCTTGGGACACGAATCCTGTAGAGACAGTTTTATTTTTATTATTTTTTTAAAAGATTTTATTTATTTATGCATATAAGAACTGGGGTGCAGGCCAGAGGTGTGGGTGGGGGTGAGAGGACTCACCAGAGACAGAGCGGGGAGCAGAACAGGCAGACTGATTGAAATACACTGCTGAGGGGAGCAGCAGGCGAGTCAGGAGAGGTCTGCTGTGCCGTGTGGGTAGCTCCCTGGCCGGCCGGGGATCGAACTAGTACTGCAGAAGGTGCGGATTGCTACGTAGTGCGGTGCTTAACCCCTCGTGCCACCAGGGAGGCCCATGTGGAGACAGTTTTAAAAGCATATTACTTCAAATCACAAAGAAGAAGGAAATGAAAAAGGTTGCATGAAGATAGCATGAAAAAGCTTCGTCTATCTCTGGTCTAGATAGGAGGTAGTCCAGAAGCAGCACTGATGTTTTAGCTCCTGTTTCTCATTTTGTAAACAAAGAAGCAAGGTCTGAGCTGGGGCAGAGCCTTTCTTAGCTGGGTCAGTGGCCAAGCAGGCACCCGCAGCCTCCTAGCCGTGACTGATCAGGAGGCTCTGTTGCTGTAGATGGGGTCCACATGACTCACACAAGCTCCTGCTCAGCCTCAGGGCTTGGGCGCTGAAAAGGGAGATGGCTTTACAGGGATGGGGCGGGAGGCTAGAGTGGGGTAGCGGGAGGAGTCCTCCAGATGGGCTTGGGAGTGATAGAAAGCTCCTAGGCACGTCTCCGCTAAGGTCCTGCTCTACTCCAGCGTGGCCGCCAGGTGGCACTCCTGCCACAAGCCCAGAGCCGTGGCCGTCCAGAGCAGTTGGAGGTGCGTGGAGGGAGCTAGGAAGGAGAAAGGGTCTCCCCTTCTCTGCCAAATCTGTTCAGCACCAATTATCTGCACCCTTTGGACTTTTGCTTTTTTTGTCTCAGCTTTGCTGGCCAGACCCAGTTGTGATATGCCCAATAAAAATGTATCCACAATGATGGTGGACTGGAGGAGAAGGAGATGCAAGAATGGGAGGCTGCTGGAAAGAGTTGCCCCCCTGGGCTAAGAAGGGTGGTGGCAACGCTGAGGCCTCTCTGTTCAGGGTGGGCCTAGCAGATGTCCATGTGGCTCTGAGCAGCAGAGAAGGAAGAGCGGCCTAATAGGTGGGAATGGCAGCGCTGGGGACTGTCTAGGGGCACACAGAGTATGGAGGGAAGCGAAGAGGTGGGCCCAGGGCCCAGGGGTTCCTTGCCGAGCCTAGGCTTAAGTTCTGGTATGGGTTTCTGAGAGCTGAGTCAAATAGATGCAAAGGTCAGTGCTGTGAGATAGTCCATGGGCCTGACCACAGTGAATACACCCAAAGCAGGAATTCCCGGATGTAGCCCACAGACCTATTATTAACCATAAATATCCCCTTACTTTTGAATTATTTGCCAATATTTTATTTTATTTATTTAAAAGAAATTATGCATACAAGAGCTGGGGTGCAGGCCAGAGATGGGGGGGCGGAGTGGTGGTGGAGAGGATTCACCAGAGACAGCGTGGGGAGCAAAACAGGCCAATCCACTGAAACACACTGCTGAGGGGAGCAGGAGAAGAGGTCTGCTGCTCCATGTGGGTCAGCTCCCTGGCCAGACGTGGAACTCATGCTGCAGTGGCTGGCGATAGTGCTCAGACTTTAACCCCGTGCCACCTGAAACTCCCAGTTTTAAAATACTGGCACTATGAAGCTATCCACAGCCTCTGCAGCACGAGTTCGATCCCCAGCCCACCAGGTAGCAACCCACATGGCGCAGCAGACCTCTCCTGTCTCACCCGCTGCTCCCCTCAGCAGTGTGTTTCAGTAGATCTGCCTGTTCTGCTCCCCACTCTGTCTCCTGTGAATCCTCTCACCACCATCCCCCCTTCCCGCCTAATAGTAATATGCTCCTGACCAATTCCCTTCCAGTCTTTCCCCTCCAGCACCAAAAAAAGAAAAAATAAAAAGAAGACAAAATACTTAGCTTAACACTGTGGTCATCAAGCAACCAGTCATTTCCTAATATGGACAGTTCACCCTCCAGCTGCACTTCCTGAATTCAAGCGCCAGGAGAATGGCATTTGCATTTGTGTACATTTTGTATAACCTCTGTTTGCTTTAACATGAAGTATGGCATCTGCAGTGACCTTCAGTATAGAATTCGTGCTGACAAAATATAACTCTAAGAGTTTGATATAAAGTTCAAATGAGGGGCCTCCCTGGTGGCGCAGGGGTTAAAGACAGCTCGCCAGCCACTGCAGCAGGACTTCCATCCTCGGCCTGCCAGGGAGCTACCCACATGGCGCAGCAGACCTCTCTTGTCTCGCCCGCTGCTCCCCTTAGCAGTGTACTTCAGTAGCTCTGCCTGTTCTGCTCCCCATTCTGTCTCCCATGAATTCTCTCACCAAGGGCCTCCACCTCTGGCCTACACCCCAGCTCTTCTATGCGTGAATAATCTTTAAAAAAAAAAAAAGTTCAAATGAACAGTCATGAGATTTGAGGACTCTTCCCCAAAATTGTTATAACAGAAAGAGCCATTGCATTTCTATGGATATGGGAGATGTCAGTGGTAGAATTTAAGGAGAAATTATCAAGTTTAAGAAAGTGTAAAATAAATTCATTTTGAAAAAGAAAAACTTGGGCCCCCCTGGTGGCGCAAGGGGTTAAGTCTCAGCACTATGAAGCAATCCTCCGCAGTCACTGCAGCAGGAATTCAATCCCCAGCCAGGGAGCTACCCACATGGTGGGGCAGACCTCTCCTGTCTCACCCGCTGCTCCCCTCAGCCGTGTATTTCAATAGATTCGCCTGTTCTGCTCCCCACTCTGTCTCTGGTGAATCCTCTCACCGCCCCCCCCACCTCTGGCCTGTACCCCAGTTCTTATATGCATAAATAAATACAATAAATCTTTAAAAAAAACCCAAACAACTGGGAGTTTCAACAAAGACTCAGTTTGCATCATCTCTGGAAATCAGGCTGTGTCACAGCGGGTGTGCCATCCCATGGCCCCAGGGCTGGAGCTGAGAAGGTTCTGTGTCTCCACTCCCCTCCTCCCCAGAGTTTCTGAGCCCCTCCTGGCCCAGTTCACTGTTCTCAGGACCTGTCTGGTCTTTCTGCCCCCGGTGGGTGGTGGTGGTGGGGGGACAGCAGGGGTTGCTGTTGGCACAGCCAGCAGGCCTGGGTGCGCGCCAGATGCAAGCAGGTGTGGGGCTACATGAAGAAGCTGTTGTGGGCTTGGGCTCCATCCTGACACCTCCCACAGGCCTCTAATTAGTGGGGGGGGGGGTCACTCCCATGAAGGCCAAGTCCAGCCCAGCACTTGACTCCCCAGCCAGGCTTGGGGGATGGAGGAGCACTCTGAGTGGGGCTCTGAAAGGCTTGGGAACCTGGGGGTGGGAACTCTCAGCGCCTCTGCTGCTGTTTCTGGGTATGGACCTCAGGCCCTTGTGTGTCTATCTCTTGAATTCCCCCAGGGGCCTTCTTGAATTTGGCTGTGCCCCAGCTGCCCACGGGGCTCAAGAAGCGACCCCTCAAGTTACCTTTCTCCTACTAGGAGCCCTCTTACCCCACTCATTTCCCCCAGCCTCCCCTCCTCTCTCTCCCACTCGTGGAGTCCTGGGGTAAGGGAGCAGGGCAGGAATGTGCCTCCCCTCAGACCTGTCAGCATTCACATGTGTTGCTTCCTCCCATTACTGGCAGTGGTGGGCATCGTGCCCCAGTCCTTGGTCCAGGCCCAAGAGCCAGCATGACCTCCAGCGAGGCAGACAGCCTCCTCTCACCACCGAGGCATTCTAGTGTGATTTCCCTGCGTTGGGAGGTGGGGAAATCCATGCCCAAACACTGGTCCAGTGTTCCCTCCACCCGGCTCCCCGCTCCCCTTTAGGGTACCCCGTCAGCTGCCCTGTCCTCCTATATGGCTACAGCTCCAAACCGGGGGCCCAGTTCTTACTTCCCCTGTCTGCCATCTGGCCCTGGCCCTTCGCCCCTCGATGGGCTGGCGGAGCCTGCTGACGGCGAAGCAGGTGTGGAGCTGGATGTGGACAGGCCGAGTTCGAGGCCACCCTGGGACATGAGGCGGGATGGACTCCAGCCTCCTCCTCACTCCCAGCCCAGCCAGGAAAGAACAGGTTCCCTGGCATCAGCTGCTGCAGTTTCCATCTGCCGTCCCTTGGCTCGGGAGGCCGAGCCCCGTCCCTGGTCTGCACCGCCCCCTGTGACCTGGGCCTCTGTGGGTCTTTCTGGCCTCATGAGGACTCTGACTCCAGCCACACACGGGAGGTGGCAGAGACAGGGTGCACTCATGGAGGAGACTATGACAGAGGAGATGAGCGTGGGCCCTCGGGAGACTGCCCGAGTGTACCCCTGCCCCTCTCTCTCTCTCTGACCTTGGGCTGACATTCTTTCAGAACTTTGGTTTACTTATGTGGAAAAGGAGTCAAATAACAACTACTTCTTCGGGCTGTAAAAATGAGATGAGTAAAAAGGAGACTGAAATGTGCACAGCACAAAGTAACAGCCCTCGCTACTGCTGCTCTGGTCACGAAACCTGTTCGCATCTTGGCTCCACCAGCTGACCTCGGGCAAGTCCCTCCCTCTCAAAAATAGTTTTCTCTTTCCTCAGGGAAGGGGAGGAGAAGATGCAGGGCTGGTGGGGAGAATGTAGGTAGAAGTGGCCTGTGAGTTGCTCTGCTCCCGGGGTTACTATTAATCCTCACTTCTGCAAGGCAGGGCAGGCCCTCCCTTCCTTTGCCTTACATCTGCAGGGAGGGCTGACCCTGGAGATCACGGACTGGAAGGAAATGTCAGGGAGGCAGGGCTGAGCTTGCCTTCAGGGCTTACAGACTTAGGTGTAGGCCTGGGGAGGGGCCTTGCCTTCAGGTGCCTACAGGTGCCTTCACCTTGCCTTCACCTTGCCTTCAGGTGCCTACAGACTTAGGTGTAGGCCTGGGGAGGGGCCCTCCCACTGCCCACGGCCTCCCTCTTTTTGGGGCTGTACCTCTCAGCGTCGGGCGCTATCCAGTTGGGGGAACCTAGCTCTGTACTGTCACTATTTCTTGATGCATTGATGCATCTTCATTTTACTTTCTTGGGCAGCTGGGTTTCTTGGGGAAGATGGAACAGACAGCTGGAAACAAAATATGAAATGGTAAAGCAAAACTTCCTGGCAAGAAAACTTACCTGGCTGTGGCAGAGGCCGGGGGTGGGGGCTGGGGTCTGCAGTGTGTGGTTCCCAGAGGCCCACTGGCACTTCTGTTCCTTCCTCCTAGGTTCAGTGCTGCTCACCTTGGCATAGGTATCCCGCCAGCCCCGGAAGTGTGTTATATTACCCATCCGTGGTGTCCATGGGCACAACGGAGGTGGCGGGTCTGCATCCTCTCTAGTCTGCGGAAGAAGAGACCCCTTTGCAAAGCTCCAGCTGTGGCTCTGGGAGGGTGAGCCCAGGGTAGCTGCCTGGGCTGCTCAGGAGGCTGCAGAGGCTGGATGCGCACCCTGCAGAGTGTCACCAGGGATTCTCAGGTCTGCAGAGCTGAGCCCCGAACATCTGTGGGCAGAGATCCCCTAAAGCTGACCCTGCCTCCTGGGCACACAGGATGCTGCCCTCTCTTTCTGCTTGAGGAAGGGGCCTCCTTAATTATATCCCCCTCCACTCACATGGAAATGAGTTTGGATTTTCTGAGCGTACACCAGCTGGCTGGGGGGGAGGCAGCCCAGAAGGCTGGGGATGGGGGGAGAAGGGAGGGAGCCAGCCCAGGAAGAAAATTCCCAGTGTTCTCACTGCTAGAGCAGTCATGGGGCTCCGGGGCGCGCCGCACACCCCAGACCCCCTGCGGCCCGCCTCCCCACGGGCAAGCACCTTGCTCCTGCTCGCAGGCTCGGCGCGAGCCACGTGCACTCGGGGCCGCGCGGCCTCCGGGGACCACAGCCCTCGGCTCTGAGCCCCTCGGCGGGCATCAGCGAGGCTGCGGGTGTGGGACCCGCCGGGCCCGCCGCGAGTGCTCCCGACTTCTGGCCCGTCCTTCCCTGCGTCTGGGCGAGTGGAACTGGGGCCCAGAGAGGGGGCGCCGCCCGCGGCTGCAGACGCCCGCGGCCCGCCCCCCCAGCCACCGTCTCCCCCGGGAGCGCCGGGGCGGGCCGCGAGGGCTCCGCGGAGCTGGCACTTGCGCCCCCCACGGGCGGGCCGCGGCGAGGGCGGGGGAGGGGCGGGGTGGGGTCAGGCCTGGCTCCTCCCCGCGCGGTGTCGGGCTGCGGTCTGCCGGGCGCTGGCTCAGTCCCGGCTGCTCGGCGCGGTGGCTGCCCGGCCGCGGCATGACACCGCCTCCGCCGGGATGCGCCGCCCTCGGCGCCCGGCGCGCCCGCGCCTCCTGCTCGCCGGCCGGCGGGGCGCTCCCGCTGCGGCTGCTGCTGCTGCTGCTGCTCGGGGCGGCCGCCGCCACCCGGGGCCACCCGCGGAGCGCACCGCGCATCGCCGCCGTCTGGAGAGGTAGGGGCGGGCGGGCGGCGCGCGCGGGGCGGGCGCGGGGGGTGCGCCCCGGGGGAGCGGGCGCGCGGCGCTGGGGTCCCGGCCGGCCGCGGGCGCGGGGTCGGGAGTGCGGGGCGCGCGGGCGCGGGGCCGGCTGGAGCGCCGCCGAGAGCGCGCGGCGGGGCCCGGAGCCCCGGCTAAGTCGCTCCAAGTCCGCCCGCAGCCCCCGCCGCAGCGCCGCGCGCCAGGGGAGGGAGCGGGGCCCCCTCGGCCGGAGCCGCCGCCGGCCCCCGGCTCCAGGCCCTCGCGGCAGGTCCCCCTCGGGCTGGCCCCCCGCCCGGGTCGGCTGCTCCGGAGCTGCGGGCTCCCGGGCGCGCGGGGCGCAGGCGGGGCGGCGAGGGGGGCGCGGACCTCTCGCCGCCGCGGCGGAGCTCGGGCTGCGGGAACAAAGACCCCGCTGGCTGCCCCCGCCCCCGCCCCGGCCCGGAGCGCCGGCGGGGAGAGGAGCGGGCACCCCCTGTGCAGCTGGGGCACGGTGCGTGCGGAGGCTCGGGGTGCCCCTCCGCAGTGCTGGGGCCGGCCTCTCCCCCCGGCCCGCACGTGGCAGTTGTCACCAGGTATCGGCGCTCGCGCGGGGGGCAGTGCCCGCTGGGTGGGGCGCGGCCGATGGGACCCTCAGGTGGCGGCGGATCGAAGCCGGGGTACAGTCTTTAAGTGGAGGTGAAATTACGCACCGGGGGGACCAGAGGCTCCCCGGGGGTTCCGCATTTTGGGCCCCTGTGCAGTGGGACAGAAAGCCTGCTAGGTGAGGGGTTGGGGCTTTCTGCCTGGAGGAACCGCGCTCCCCTCCCTGCATTGCACACAAATGCTTCCCCGCCCCCAGGCCGACTGAGCTCCGTCCCCAAATTTGGCTGTACTGCGGCCCCCCTGTGGCGGTGGTGCTGGTGGACGCACCGCGAGGGGACCGGTCAGGTCTGGCCCCTTGGGGGCCCTTTGATGCCTGAGGCGGCTGGCAGGGCTTGCGGAGCCCGAGCGGTATCTGGGGCAGGTATTCTTAGCATAGTGGGAAAAAACCCACACACAAAATGAGCGGCTGCAACTGCGGCTGCAGTGAGGGAATGTGACTCGCCCAAGGTCACTCGGCAGCATGTGAGCTAATAGTGCGGGCACGGGCCTCGGACCTGGCACAGGACCATTGTTCCTGCTGGGTCAGGGAGGGGAGAGGATTTAGGCAATTCTCTGGCCATGGAGAAGGGTCTTTGGTGGTCAGTTCTGCCACTCAGCCAGGAGGTGTGCCTGGCGGGAGCGGAGCTGGGCAGCTGGATCTCGTGGTAGAGCCCCACGGCTCGACATTCCCGCTCCAGCCCAGACCTCCCCTGCCCTCCCAGCATCTTTGCCTTGCTTCAGTCCTCTGGGCTGGCTTGGACGGCAAGGCATTTGGGCACTCTGAAGGGACCACATCTGAGTGTTCTGGAAACTCACCCGATACCAAAGCCCTCATATTTGGCTGTTTGTCTCCCCCCCGCCCAGCCCCCTACTCCCGTCTTTTTTAAGATTCCCCCTCATACATTTATACATTCTCATAGTTAAGACACACCCACTTCTTAGCACTTAATGCACCCCCCCCCCATCTTGGACACTTAGTCCCCACTCTGAGGCTATTTAAAGCTGCTTTTAGTCCTCTTACCCACTTTCAAAGCTCCCATCCCAGCTCCATCCCGACTGTAGCCACACTGGCTGTGCCCTCTACTTGCTAATGCACTATTGACCCCCCTGGGGTCTGCCAGTCCCTCACCTATCAAGTCTCAGGGATGGCTGCGGTCTTTTTTACAGTGCCAGGTGCCACAGTGGCCAGGCAGACCCTGCCTGTCCCCCAGGACCACCAGATGGTGATGGTGTGCCCAGCTGACAGCGGCCTTCTATTTCTTTTGTGGGGTGACACATGGCAATCGGAGAGGAACGGGCTTGGACAGCCCAAACCCAGGGATCGGGTGAGAGAGGCCCCTCCCAGACTTGCTGCAGACCTAGGTCCCTGCCTGTCTCTACCAGGGGCTCAGGAGACAGGGTGGTGACCTCCTCCAGGAATGAGTAGATCAAGACTACTTGTGATTCTGAGCCACCTGTCCTTGGACAGAAATTAGGAGTTGGGTTTCCAACCAGGATGGGTGTGAGGACTCATCTCTGTTGAGTATTTTTTGCTACTTTGACCCCAAAGCACCAGGGAGATTAGCTCAGGACTTCTGGAAGGGTCCCAGCCTACACTTGATGGGGAGGTTGATGCTGCTGCAGCCTGATGAGACCTGGCACAGAGCAGCTGTAGGCAGAGGGATGTGCCAGTCCTGACCTGAGGCGTGCCCTTGAACTCTGCACCTGTCTCTGACCCTTAGAGCTCACCAGAGCAGAAGGACTCTGGAGTTGGTCGCTGACATGGGGACCAGTCAAGGATGTGACTGTGGGCCTGACCTCTTTGCTGATAGGAGCCATGGGGCGTGGGCTGCGGGTCGGGGCAGGAGGTAGGCATGCCTGTGTAACTGCATCCTTCTCCTATTCCACCCCTGGTTGGAGGAGGTGGAGAACCCGGGAGGTCTTGACCCCTAAGGTCAAAGGGGAACCAGCCTCTGCAGATGGAGAGTCAGCCTCTACCGGCCCAGCTGGTTCTGCCCTATCCCTTGTCCAATTAAACAACAGGATGTTATTGTTGACTTTGGTGGCTGCTGGGGGAGCCATTACGTGCCACTCCCCAGGGCAGGGGGTTGTTGTCACCTCCTCCAGGGGATGAGGTCACAGCTGGGGCTCTCCAAGCATCAGCATTTCCAGTGGAAATCCTTGCCCCCTTGGGAACTTAGATGTTCTCATCACCTTCAAGGTGAACTCCCCCTGCAGACCAGAGGGGCGGGGCAACTCCCTGGAGGAGAGGGGGGTTTCCTAAGCTGGAAGGGGTAGAGAGAGGCTTTGTGATGTCATGGGGAGCTTCTGGCTTCAAGCTCTGGGGCCTCTCTCTCCTGGGGTGGGGTGGATGCTGGCACAGGACCAAGGTGACCGTGGTGTGGGAGAGAGAGACGCAGGTCAGGGGCCCTGTGCTGGTGTCAGGTCTAGCCTCATTTTCTGCGTGACAAGCTCTCTGCCTTTTGCTGAGCCTCAGTTTCCTCAAATGTCCAAAGCAGATAGAAGGAGGAGCTTATACTTATCAGTACCCTAATGCCCCAGATGTCTGCCTCTCTGGGGTGGAAAGGGCTAGACTGGCTGTGGTGAGTTCTTCCAAACTGTAGCCGTGAGGAGAAATTGTAACCTGGAAAGTCAGGGGAAATCCTCAAGTTTTCTGTTCTTTCCTGTCTTTTTGTCTCAGAGTCAAAGGCTGAAGGAAGTAGATCATTCATTTGTGGCCTCAAGGGTGGATAGTAATGCAGCAGACATTTGCTGGGGCCAGTTTTATGGTGGCTTCAGGGCCGGGCTTGAGGATCGCAGGAAGAGAAACTGGAGTCTGTGCCTGTGTAGCCTCTTTAGTTTAGGCAGGTCAGCTTGCAGTAAAATGTGAAATGTGGTAGAGCCTATAACAGCTCTGCGGTCCGAGGAAGCATTTACCCTCTCCACCCAATCAGGGAGGGCTTCCTGGAAGAGGTGGTAAGCTGAAGTGGCAGCGAGTAGGAACCAGCTGGAGGAGGGGCGAGACAGGATTTCAGATCCCAAAACTTACAACAAGGGGCCCTGTGGGGTCCCTTATAGCCTGGAGGCTCCAGGAAGGTTTCTTGCAGCAGATAACATCCAGCTGGTCTAGTTGATCTTCTGCAGCCAGCCCAGCAGTGCCCCCCCCTGCTTCCAGTCACAGCTCTCTGATGGGAAGCTGGGGCTAGACTGGGTAGACCAGGGCTTTCTACCCTGCTCCATAGCAGCAGCATCTCTGGGTGAGGTCCTTGCCTGCTTTCATGCTCTCCTTGGGGAGGAGCTCCTCCAGCACCAGTGAGGCCTTGCCATCTTGCCTCCTCAAGAGAGGCGGATTTCCTTCCTCTGATCAGCTTCCCCTTCCAGGAACCTTCCTTTTCTTGGTGGGGGTGGGTCACTCCAGGATGGGAGTGGGATTCTGGGGTCTCAGAAGAGACAGAACTGGGCACCCTGCCTTGAGGAGGGCCAGCCCAGGGGCCCTTACGTGCAGGTGGGATGCTGAGGGGGTGGCCTGTGGTCTGCAGGGGGCAGTGGCAGGTGTGGGGTGACCTGTCCCTGACCCAGTCCTGCAGGGCCACTCACTGTGTCACAAGAGACTGACCGCACTTCTGCTCTGGCACTTCCCCTTCTCTTGATTTCCTATTTTGGTCAGCCTGGCTGCCCCAGAAGCTTCTTCTCTTCTAAGGCGGAGGAGAAAGAGGTCCTCTCAGGGCATGGAGACTGTAGTCTCTTGTCAACCTCAGAGAACGTGGGTTGCTTTCTTTCCTAGCCAGTCCAGGCCACTAGCTTCGAGAACTGTCCCTTCCCTGCCCGCATGCCCTGGCCCCATTTCTCCCCCCCAACCCCTGGTGCTGACATAGCCATAGAGTGGCTGTCCAGTTCCGCGGCCCTGGTGCTGTCCCTCCCTGTATCCTACTCGTCCTCCTCCTTTCTGTTGTTCTAGCTCATTTCCTCGAGCAAGCTTGAGGATGACTTGGATGACTTCAGCCCACATAGCCTGACACCTGGCGGGACAGAGCTTAGGATATCAGACAACACATGTCAGAGATCAGCTGCACCAACCACATGTTCCACAGAGGGGAAGCTGAGGCAGGGCCTGGCCCAAGTTCACCCAGTGAGACAAGCAGAGCTGGGACCTTCTCCTGGCCTCAGCTTTTGCCCGACTGCCTTCATGCTCTGTCCCAGCCTTGGAGTTCCCCAAGTCCATCTCCTCCTGGGCTGGCCTCCCTCAGTCCACTCTTCCTGCCCTGGCTCCATCTGCTCCCCCTGAATCTTATATGTGGGCCAGCTCAGTGCACCTCTTGTCTTTTCAAGCTGGGCCGGGGTCCTGAGGGCAGCTTGATCTGTGTCATGGCCTGGGCTAATCTGGGTTTAGCCAGTCACAGCAGCCTGGGATAAGGCTGATCCTACTGTGCACCCCCTGCTTCCAGTCAGGGGCTCAAACTGAGAGCTTGCACCCGGGACACCCTTCATTGTGGAGGGCAGCTAGCTCCCAGCCCACACTTAAGTCTCTGCTCAACTCCACAGAGGTAGAGAGGAGGGAAAACCCTGGTTTATTTTTGGGGAGCACAAATGTGCCCAGAGAATTGGGCCTGCTGGGGAGGTCAGGAAGAACCGGTAAGTACAGCTGAGGACTGGGACAAGAGGTGAGTGCAGGAAAGGTCAGTGTGGGGTGGTGGGAAGGCTTCCTGGAGGAGGGTAGGAGCCAGGCTAGAGTGTGGGGCAGGTAGGTGAGGTAGGGGCCAGGTGTGGCACAGAGAACCCCTTAGGCTATGTTTGTCCTCTAGACTTGGGGCTCTGGGCCGGCCCAGTGAGAAAGGAAGGTCGTGGTGATCAGGTTGTCACCCCGTCAGTGGCCTGGGAGACTGTTCTAGGTTCCTCTGACCTGAGGTTTGGCCTCCCTACTCTCTGAGCTGCTTCCCCTGGCCCAGAGCTGACCTTGACTGAGCCAGGGGCCCATGGAGTAAGGAGAGGAGGCCTGTCCTTCACCTTCAGGACCCACAGGCCAGGTGAACCCCCACCAGACTGAGATATGAGATGACTGTGCCAGATGGTGTGCGGCACAAGGTCAGGGGGAGGGCGGAGCAGCGAGGGCTGGAGCAGACTGGAGCACTTCCTGGAGCCGGGCTGGGGGTGTGGGGAGAATTGAGGCTAGATCTTCAAGGACAGGTCCATGCACAGAGCAAAGGGGAGCAGGGAATCCAGGGAAAGGGAGAGCAGAGCAAAGGTTTGGAGGTGGGAAGGGGACCTTGGCGGAGATGAGCAGAGATGGCTGCGTCTTCACTGCCTGGGAGGGCTTGGGCCCGGCTGGGAATGGCAGTTGGGAGCCATGGTAGGTTCCTGAGCTGAGGAGCCAGGGGTGGAGGTGGCCAGTGCTGACTGGCTGGGAACCTGCTGGGCAGATAGTAAAGAAGAATTTGTGAGTACACCCCACTGTGCTGTGCCTTGCCCCAGACCACACAGTGCTTTCTATTCTGGGCAGAGATCTTGGGAGATTTATCTTCCCCATTAGTCACGCTGGTCAGTACTCAGCGCCCTGCTGCACCCCCAGATCCCTACCCGCCTGTTCAGGCCTGCACACCCACGCTGGCTTACACATGCTCATCAGGACCTCACGGGAGAGGGTCCGGCCTGTGACCAGGCTCTGCCCTCTCTGGCCGCACTCTTGTTTGTGTGGGAGGAGCTGACCTGGACTCTCCCAGGTGCCCATCTATGGAGCATGAAGGTGTACGCACAGATTCCAGCCAGCCTCCACTCTCTCACTTCGAGGCTGTGTGATCCTGAGCAAGTTACTCTACTTGTCTGTGTCTCGCTACCCTCATGTGTAAAAGGGGAACAGTAAGAAAACCCACATCCTCAGCATTCAGTGATGATTAAATGAGCTAATGTACCTAAAAATCACTTGGAATAGTGGCTGGCACGTAGCAAATGCTAGGGAGGGGCTAGGTCCTAGGGCTGTCGTCATCACATCCTCTTGCTTCGGCCTCTGATTCCTGAGGAGAGGCAGCCCGGCCCGCTGGCCCTCCCTGGCTGGCTACGCCGACTGGCGCTTGTCCCGTGCCGCCTCTCACTGCCCACTAGCCGAGGCTCAGACTGAGCTAGGCCTCCTGAGACCTTCTGCTTGCCGACAGTCTCTCCCTCCACTTGGGGTGGCCTAGCTGTGCTCCCTCCTCTCCCCCACCCCTGCCCTGGCTCCATGCCTCTTCCCTGCACCTCTGCCCATCCTCTCCTTTGAAGGAGCCGCTGGCTGACCTTGGCCTCTTGCTGCAGCTTTTGGAAACTGCTAGAGTGAAAAGCGGGCGGGAGGTGGGCAGGACGTGGTGTTCAGCCTGGGCTTCCTGCCTTCCCTGGCCTAGGAGCCCCACTTGCTCGTTCCCTTCCCTCTGGCTTGCCCTCGCCACCCCCCTGCTTGCTCTCCACACCTCCCCACTCCCCCAAGTCTTTGCCTCAGCTGGTGCCCACACCATCAAGTCTTCTGGTTCGCGGAGCACTGGGTGCTGTCAGAGAGCATGCACCCCTTGGTGCCTGGCGTGGCCTGTCTTCCCGGCCACAAAGGACGGAGCCATTCTATGCGGCGGAGGGGTGGGTGGGGGAGGCTTGGCCGGCCAGTCAGTGGGGACAGGTGAAGATGCAGATGCCGTCTCTGATTCTCCAGCACTCACAGGCCCACCCTTCCCCCAAATGACCCGTGAACTGAGCACTGATAGTTTGGGGATTTGTCTCGAGAATCATGGTGGGTCATGAAACCTAGACCTTAGCGAGTACCAGTCCCTCCAAGCCACACGGGAAGAAACCCAGCTCAGGCAGCCTGGGCCCTGGTCACGGTCAGGGCCGAGCCCCTGCCACTGCCAAAGGGAACGCGGGACTTCTTGGAGTCGGGGTTCAGCCCACACTTGAGACCTGCTCCCTTCCCGCACCCGGCTGGCCTTGGTGGGTGGGGCCTGCTCCTCCTGGGGCCAGCGCAGTGCACTCCAGGGCTGACGCAGCCAGGCGGACCTCTCACTCCCCCGTGAGCTGAGAGCTGTGTCGGGGGCCGCCACCTGCCCAGCACGGTGGCCCCGACCCTGCCAGGCATCTCTCTGAATGTCATCAGTACCCCAATGGCAGCTCCAGGCTTCCTCAGCACAGGCCGCTGCACCCTGCAGCCCAGGCTTCTGTGTATGCGGAGTGACACATCCCTCATCCCTGGCTGCACCGGGAGAGACAAAATCAATGAAGCATTTGTTCCTTTGCCCCCAGCCTAGGGGAAAGGTTTGGTTTCCTTCCACTGCCCTCACTCAGCACCGAGGTCCTGCGCTGTCCTCCCTTTGAGTTTGAGGCCTTGACTATTGGAGATCAAGGATCCGCCTGGAAGGGGGTGGGTGACTGAGCCCTTCAGTTGTCAGGTTAGTGGCCTGTCACCTCGTGGGCGAAGGAGGGAAGATAGGAGATTACACAGGAAAGTGGCAAGGAGTGAGATATACAGCTTCTCACAAATCCAGAGACTCAAGAAGCCCAAGATGTGTCCTGGAGGCTGGGACCGGGCGCCGGGCATGTGTATTGGCCCTGCCCCTGCCTCCCTCGCTCAGTGCCCTTGGACCGGTGGTGCAGCCTCTCTGGTTCTTGGCCCGCTCACGCCAGTTCCCTTCTACCTTGACTCGCAAAAGCTGGAGAGGTATGGCAGACGCATTCCTGGGCCCGTTGTGCCTTCCCCCTTCCCTCCCTGCCAGGTGTGTGGTAGGTGAGTGTGGGAGGAAGCCACAATGCAGGGTGGAGCACAGTCGTGGGAGGCTCTGCCCGATATGGCCAGGTCCTCAGAGCTTGGCCTGGCTCATGCCCCGGGGCCTCCATGCTGCCCGACTTAGGCCTTTCCTGCTGGTGCCCGCATTCCTGCCATGCTCAGAGCCGATCTCCATGCCCACTTCCAAAGGGCTCCCTGAGGTCAACATTCCAGGCCTCTCGGGGCAGTGGGTCAGGTCGGAAGGCTGTCCCTGCCCAGCCCAGGCCATGGGGCCTGTTCCTTGTTCCCTTCATGGACAACAAGCTCTGCCCCCCACCACATCCCTCCCTCTCCCCTCCCTGCCCCTCAGGCTGCCCTGCTGTCTCTCAAGCCACGAGCATATGGGGACTGTGGGGACAAGATGGCGCTAGCACCCAGCCTGAGTGAGAGGAGGGCGATGTGCCACCAGGCAGACCTGTGCCTGGAACCCCACCCTACTGCAGTCCAGACTCTCACGCCCCCCCCCCCCCGCCCCGTGGCGCTGGCACCTGTGGGAGGGCGGGTAGAAAGGAATGAGGTCTGATTCATTCCGATAGGATCAGGGCCCAGTGGGCAGCCTGACCTGGGGACGTGACTCGAGGAGGCTGCCCCCACACCCACCACCCTCTTGAGCCTCCCTCAGCTGGGGCAGGGGCTGGTGAGGCCCGCGACTGTGGGGAGTTGGGACTTGGGCCATGGTGCGCTTTTTCTCTGCTCAGAAGAGCTGGGATTGGCTCAGAATCACCTGGGGGCAGGGGGAGTCTTGTGCCCAGCCCTCCTCTGGGGCCAGTCCTGCTCCGTGTGCCCCTGGCCCCCTCCCCTGCCCGAACCCCTGGTTATTCTGGGAGCTTTTAGCTACCACTTAGTCAGCCACTAATGCGTCAGGCCGGGGAGCGAGGGGGGGGGACACGGTGCCAGACGGTGCTCCTTTTAGACATCCAGGACGGGAGGCGGAGGGGCTGGTCAGGCAGGGGGGTGGGGAGCTGGGGGATGCTGGCAGAGGCGTTCCTGTCCTGGAGGGCGGGAGACTGCGGGTGACTGCCGGCTACCCAAGGGAGGGGAGCCACACAGGAGACTGAGGCCATGCGGAGACTGAGAGAGGCTTGGGCAGGGGCTGCTGCCCCCGCACCCCATCACACTGGCCCCAGCCCACCTTCCTGATTCTTTTCTCATTAGGCCTCTCCGACCCACCCTCCAGTCAGCTTCCCCACCTTTCTGGGGTGTTTCCCTGCCTGGAATTCTCTTCCTGCTGGGCTCTTGACCCTTCTAGCTTTGATCTGCCTCCCCATTCCTCTGAACTCCTAAGGAAGCAGAGACACCTCAGGGATGCAGCACTTGCTTCCTTGGCTCCGCTGTGCTCGGCCCTGCATGGGCCCAGGCTCCAGGGCTCTCGCTGGCCCAGCTCTCTGGGTGTCGGTCAGGAGGGGCCACGGGTCCTGGCTGGGAAGCCTGTGTGCCTTCACTTCCAGGCAGCCCTCCTGCCCCTCAGCCCCCAGCCCCCTCACTCCTGTGACCTGAACAAAGCTCTCTTTCATGTATTCATGGAGCTGCTGCCGCTCAGACACTTCCCCGGCACAATCAGGCCCTTTGAGGGCCTCGGGCGGTGCGGGAGCCGCGCCGGGGTTGGGGTGGAGAATGGGCCAAGGCTTGGTCCTGGGGCCGAGCCGGTGCCATCCCCCCCCATACACATCACCAGGCTCGGAGCCGGGAGGGACAGGAGCCTGAGGGTCACGGGAGGTAAAGCTCCTGGGTTCCTGTTTGTTCTTCTGCAAAATGGGGCGAGCAGTCCCTGCCTCCCCCACACCATGGCCAGCCGCTGGGCTGGCAATTCTGTGCAGGGCTGCCCTGGCACTACAGCCCTGTCCGTTGCTTCCAGCATCCGGCAGCCCTCACTCTCCCTTTGTGTCCTCAGAAATATTGTGTGAGCAGCCCTGGGGTCTGCACCAAGACTGTTTGGCTTGAGCCTGGTGGAGGTTCTTTGCCTGTCCTCTGACTGGATCCCACTTTAGGGCCAGCTCTCCCGCTCACACCGGGCTGTCCAGGGTCGTCGAGCTTGACTCCCAGGGCATGACTATACCACCTTCTCCCTTTGACAGCCCTATTGCCCCCCACAGCTCCCTCAGAGCCCCCTGGGGTCTGTTTCTCGCGACTAGAGCTGTGCGTGGGCCCCTTGCCGGCCCCTCTTCGGCTGGGGCTGTGGCCTTGGTGCTGGGCCAACTGAGGTGACGGGTGGAGGTGGCCGGCATGGCCTGAGGGCTGGGGCTCCTTCCCCTTTGGCTTTCTGGGAAGCTGAAGGGCTCAGGACCCCACTCAACATCTCTAGACAAAGATTCACCTTTTCCTGGCCTCTGGGATGGCTGGAGGTGAAGGAGGGGAGCTGCGGCAGCAGATTATCTGGATCCTGGCTGTCAGGGCCAGGCTGCGGGTGCAAGGGGAGCCCTGGGAGCTGAGTCAGGAAAGCTGAGTGCCGCAGCTGCTGACCCCAGCGCTCTAATTCTACCCAGGCGAGAGGAGGGTGAGGCTGGGCCAGCACCCCACCAACCAGCTGCCCAGAGCTGGGCTCTTGGGGCTAATGGGACTTGAACCTTGGGGTGCTTGCATCTCCCAACATGCCTGAGAACTCTGCCTGCCCATCTCCTAGTATGACCTTGGACTAGCCTACTTGCAGGGGCCTTAGGTTCCAGTCCCAAACAGTGAGCCAGGCCACAACTAGGTGAAAGGGACAATCTTCCTTCTGGGGAGGACTTGGCCCTGTGGGATGTATCCTAAGGAGAAGGAGGGAGGGTGTGGGTGGCAAGGTGTGCCGTGCTCCTTGGCCCAGTTGGATGCGGGGTCCATGGGAATGACTCAGGTGGCAGCCGGAGGGACTGGGGCGGAAATGGCAGCTCTTTTCCCTGCCAACTACAGTCATGTCCCACTTGGATGTCCCTGCCAGGCTGGCTGTTCCTGATGTCGCTGCAGCTGAATAAACGGTGGTCAGGGGGCCTCCCTGGTGGCACAAGGGGTTAATCACTGCACTATCAAGCGATCTGAAGCCTCTGCAGCACAAGTTCGATCCCCAGTCAGCCAGGGAGCAACCCACATGGCGCAGCAGACTTGTCCTGACTCGCCCGCTGCTCCCCTCATCAGTGTATTTCAGTCAGTCTGCCTGTTCTGTTCCCTGCTCTGTCTCTGGTGAATCCTGTCACCCCCCCCCCCCACACACACACACCTCTGGCCTGTACCCCAGCTCTTATATGCATAAATAAATAAATCTTAAAAAAAAAAAAAACAGTGGTCAGAGATCCTGGGTGAGACCCCAGGCTGCTCAGAGGTGGGAAGAGGCTGGCTTGGCTGATCGCTGTGGCCACAGCCACAGTTGTCCTGTCTCTGTAATTTAGTCCTGCAACCACGATGGCCTCAGCAATGTAACTGTAGATGACATCTCCCTGGGAGCGGTGGTATAGACAGTTTCCTTTTTGGGCAAAATTGCCCCAGCCAACCCTCTGCTTACAAGCCCACACTGTGTGCTCTGTGAAGGTCCGCAGACCAGACCTCTATGGTGGGAGGTCTGATCTTTACCTCTGAGGCGAGCTGACATCTCTGTGAAACCAGCCCAGTGCAGGCCATGCAGGGCTCAGTGGGGGCCCTGCTTCAGGGCCTGCTACTGGCTTCGTGACCCTGAGCAGCTGCTCTTTGGACCTGTTTTCCATCTGTAAAATGGGAGGGGTTGGACATGTAGATTCCTTTCTGGCTCTGAAGTAAGCTGATGTGCTCACCAGGGGCCGGAGTGGTGGGGAGGGGTTGGAGAAGGCTTCCTGAAGGAGGGCATGGGGTTCTGAGGAAATAGATTCCTGGGAGCCTGGACTCTAAGTGGAGCTCTCAGAAGCCCTGCTACTTCCAGGAAGTAGAGATGGCTGCCTGCTCTGTCCTGCAAGAGCCAGTCCGTGTACTGCTTGTCTCCTGCCGGCCTCCCGGCCCCAGCGCAGCAGACTGTGGCCTCTCTGTGTATATGTGTGGGGCTGTCTCTTCTACCTAGGGGCCCCTAAATGCTGCCTCCACCCCGAGGTCACACATCTTGTAGGAGAGAGGGCTGTCCTCTTAGGTGAGGACAGCTCACATGGACCCCATCAGGGGCCCTCCTTTCTTCTTCCCACCTGTGACTGCGCCCTGCCCAGGCCTGAGCTGTCAGGTAGGAGCCAGGAAAGACCCAGGCTCCCCCACTCAGGGCCCAGCCTCAATGCTTCTGCCTATTGTCTCCTCCTCAGGCCGAGCAGGACAGGACCGGGTCGACTTTGGCCTGACTGAACCGCACACGGTGCTTTTCCACGAGCCAGGCAGCTCCTCCGTGCTGGTGGGTGGACACGGCAAGGTCTACCTCTTCGACTTCCAGGAGGGCAAGAATGCTTCTGTGCGCACGGTGAGCCCGGGCCCCTCTGCCGGCCTCAGGGACACAGCAGAGACCCTCCACCCCTATTTCCCGTCATCCCTCTGCTTACTCCCCTCTGGCCTTGGTGAGGGGCTTTTGGAGTCCAGAGGAGGGAGCTGGCTCCTTTCTAAACTGGTCCACCCCCTACCCCCCATTACATCCCATGAATGTGCCCCCCCCCCAGGATACTTCCTGTGGGTAGTGCAGATTGGCAAGGGTGTTGGGTGGTACACCGGGCCTGGCCAGGTGGGCTGTGCTGATGGGGAAGGCCAAGCAGGAAATGACTCCAGGACCCCTGGCTTCTACCTCTCACATCTCTGAGCTGTCTGTGAGTTCTGGCTTTTTGGCTTTGTTGCCTGCCAAGCAGCCTGTGTGATCTTGGGTGATTCGCTCACCCTCATTGCTTCTCTGGAAGATGTGCTGGCCCTGAGGAGGCATGGAAAGCACTTGGGGCATCTCACCCCTGGCACAGTGGGCTAATGCTTCTCCCCTTCCTCCAGGTGAACATTACCTCCACCAAAGGGTCCTGCCTGGACAAGCGGGTGAGTGGGGGAGAGGAGTGAGTAGGGAGGCCGAGCCCCTGGGGACTGGGACAGTAGACACCAAGGATCTGAGGGAGGAGGCCTGGCTCCGCCTTGGGAGCTCTTGTCTGAGGGGAAGCTGTGGTCCTGCTCCAGAGGCCTCGTCCTGTGTTCTTCGGGGGTGGAGTCAGCACATGAGGTGCCTCCTTTCCCAAGACTGAGGGTCCTCGCGGCAGATCTGCCAGGTCTCACCCACCTCTCTCCTGGGCAGGACTGCGAGAACTACATCACACTCCTGGAGAGGCAGGGGGAGGGACTGCTGGTCTGCGGGACCAACAACCGGCATCCCAGCTGCTGGAGCCTGGTGAGCAGGTCCCCTCCCTGCGTGCCCGGTCCACTCACCCATGGGCTTTTGCCAGAGATCCCGGGAGGGCGGTGATCCTGGCTGGGAAGCTGGCCCCCTGGGACGCCATTCTGACCCCCGGTCTCCTCCAGGTGAATGGCACCGCGGAGCCACTCGGTGAGCGGAGAGGCTTTGCCCCCTTCAGCCCAGATGAGAACTCCCTGGTTCTGTTTGATGGTGAGGTTGCAGCTGGAGCGGGAGGGTGGCCGTCTGGGACTAGGGGAGGGTGGTCAGCTCCGCGTTGGGATCCAGGCCCGGGGCGGGGACTTTCAGGAACTGGGTGTCCTTACCCGCGCCCCTCCCATGCACCCAGGGGACGAGGTGTACTCCACGATCCGGAAGCAGGAATACAATGGGAAGATCCCACGGTTCCGCCGCATCCAGGGCGAAATTGAGCTGTACACCAGCGACACGGTCATGCAGAGTGAGTCAGGACGGGCTGGGGGGCAGGTAGGGGCGGGGTATGATGTCCGTGCAGCAGATGGGATCCTCATCTTCCCTGAGGGGCTCCCCGAGGGCTGCTGGGGCAGGAGCTCAGGACAGGGCTGAGCAGCCAGAGGCAGGGAGGCTGGCCTAGCAGGTAGCAGGGGAACAGCAGAGGCAAAGGTGCAGAGAGAGGCAGGATGGGCCTAACTCACTCTGGGAACCAAACAGAGGGAGCCCCAGGCCCAGGGTGGGGTCCCCAGGAGTCAGAGTATAACTCTCTGCTGAGCTCATGTGGGGGCAACACCCCTCCCTTCTCATTAGGACTCTGCCAATTAGGCAGCAATGACATCGGGGTCCCCAGGGGCCTCCCCCCAGTCCCCAGGCATGAAGTCATTGCTCTTGGGTGGATGACATCTTTAAAGGAGGAGGGCAAAACAGGGGTGGGGTGGGGACATGGGCTGGGCCCCCTAGAGTTTTGGATCTGGTGTTCTGGGTTCAATTCCGAGTCTGATTTTGTGGAGACTCAGAGCGTGCAAGACGGGAATGGGTCCTCCGAGCAGGCCTCCCCGCCTCACACTTATTTGTCACTGTCCCTGGCAGACCCGCAGTTCATCAAGGCCACCATTGTGCACCAAGACCAGTCCTACGATGACAAGATCTACTACTTCTTCCGGGAAGACAACCCTGACAAGAATCCCGAGGCCCCTCTCAACGTGTCCCGCGTGGCCCAGCTGTGCAGGGTGAGCTGAGTGGGCAAGAGCGCCTGAGTGTGTGGGTGCTCGTGTGCAAGCGTGAGTGCACATGTGTGAGGAGTGTGCCAGCGCCTGTGTGTGTTGTGGGAGTACGTGTGTGTGTATCTGAGCGGGTGAAGATGCTTGGGTAGGTGTGCCTGTCTGACGTGGGAGGGTGTACCCGTGTGAGGGTTTGTGTGAGTTTGTGCTTACGGTGGGTGTCACTTGTGTGAAGGACCATCGATGCGTGTGTGTTTGTGTTGTGTGTGCGTGTGTGAATGTGTGTGTAAGGTGAGCAAATGTGTATCTGAGCCCATTTACATTATAGGGCCCCCGCACCCTGACACTGAACGTCTGTCCCATTCTCTGACCATGTGCCCAGCAGGAGCCTCACCCCAGAACCTGGCCTGAGATGTGGACACCTGTGCCTCATCCCTGGCAGGTCCCAGCTCAGCCTCCCTTCCTCCCCAGAAGCCTGGGTGCTGACCTGGGTGCTGGGTGCAGCAGAGGCCTTGGCCAGGGACAGTCTGGGTGGGTGCTGAGAGGCTCCTCTCCCCTCCACTTTCAGGGGGACCAGGGTGGGGAGAGCTCGCTGTCGGTCTCCAAGTGGAACACCTTTCTGAAAGCCATGCTGGTGTGCAGCGACGCCACCTCCAACAAGAACTTCAACAGGCTGCAGGACGTGTTTCTGCTCCCTGACCCCAGCGGCCTGTGGCGGGACACCAGGGTCTATGGCGTTTTCTCCAACCCCTGGTGAGTGCCCCTCATCCTGGGGCGGGGCTGGCTAAGGGGCCAGGAGGGCTTGGAGGGCGTGGGTCCTGCTGAGGGCACAGCAGCGCGGCACGAGCAGGGCTTCCAGGCTCAACCACAGGGCTGCTGCTGGTGCTGGGGTGGGGACGGCGCTCTGGGAAAGGATGTGCTGGTGTTGGCGAGGCTGTACACACGAGTGTGAGTGTGAGTGTCACATGCATCCTCGTGGCTGCACATGCCTGTGTGTCTGCCAGCTGTGTGCTCAGAGCCGGCTCTGGGCTCCGGAAAAAGGCTACCAGGCCTTTTTCAGGGGTGCTGGGTGCTATCGCACCTGCTGAGGCACTGCCTCGCCTGATAATTCACACCTCTTAATCGCTCTCATTGATTGAAAACAAGACAGGCAAAAGTGTTGGGTTGTGTGGGGAGGGGTGGGGGTCAAGGTGGGACAGCCATGACCTTGCCCTGTGCCTCCCATGGGTGGGCCTGGCCAGACTGGGTGGGGGCAGGTGTCTGGACTTGTTCCTTTCCCTCCTCCCTCCTTCATTGGTGTTTGGTAATAACTCTTTTTTTTCTTAAGATGCATTTATTTATGCATGCAAGAGCTAGGGCACAGGCCAGAAATGTGGGGGGTGAGAGGATTCACTGGAGACAGAGCAGGGAACAGAACAGGCAGATTGACCGAAGTACACTGCTGAGGGGAGCAGTGGGCGAGTCAGGAGAGGTCTGCTGCGCCATGTGGGTAGCTCTCTGGCCGGGGATCGAACTCATGCTACAGAGGCTGCGGATTGCTTCATAGTGCGATGCTCTAACCCCTTGCACCACCAGGGAGGCCCCTCTTTGGTAATAACTCTTGGGGCTCTAGGGGTGCCCCTGGCACAGTTCTGAGCTCGTAGGCCAGAGAGCTCGGTTGGAAGGCTGTGGTTGGGGCTGTTTGGGGCTGGGCTGGCCTGGGTGAGCAGGCTCGTGCATCCTGGCTCTCCACTGAGGGGTCTTTGTGTCCCTGCAGGAACTACTCGGCTGTCTGCGTGTACTCCCTCGGTGACATAGACCAGGTCTTCCGCACCTCCTCCCTCAAGGGGTACCACTCGAGCCTTCCCAACCCTCGGCCTGGCCAGGTGAGCAACCATCCTGTAGCTTGGCCCCAGCCCTCCCTAGCCCGCCACCCTGCCACCTCTCTGACCTGGGCCTGCTCTCCTTGTCCAGTGCCTCCCAAACCGGCAGCCAATACCCACGGAGACCTTCCAGGTGGCCGACAGGCACCCCGAGGTGGCCCAAAGGGTGGAGCCCTTGGGGCCTCTGAAGACACCACTATTCCACTCCAAATACCACTACCAGAAAGTGGTTGTCCACCGCATGCATGCCAGCAATGGGGAGACCTTCCATGTGCTGTACCTAACCACAGGTAAGGGGCTACCCTGAGACCCCCTGCTTTGCTTTGTAACAATGACTTTGAAAGCTGTAAAGAATTATGTGGTTAAATTGGGTTGGATCTTTATACCTAGAAGGAAGAATTGAGTAACTAAGAATTGTCAGGGGTAAGACTGTGTGGATAAGTCAGGCTGGAAGGGCTTCCTGGAGGAGGTGGCAACAGACGGAAGCGTGGAAGGCATCCTAGGAGAGCAGGCAGCAGGAATCAGAGGCAGAATTGGGGCAAGACTGAGCAAAGTGGTGTGGGGTGTTGGTCCCGATGTCTGACTTATGAAGGTGATGGAAAGATGTGGATAGTCAGAAGGAAAAACCTGACCCCTGGTATGCTATAGCCTCTGCCAGATGGAATGAAGACATTTGCCTCTCCCTGTCTTTGGAATTATGCAAGTGAGAGAAAATGCTTGATTTGGAATGTAGAGAATTCAGGGTGATATGGGGAGAGCCTGCAGTCTTCAGAGGTCTGCAGCAACACAGCCCCTCTCTGCACCTGGCTGGGGATTCCCCACGGGGAGGTCTTGCTGAAAGTTGAGTGAAATGCCCCAGGAGGCCTTTGAGACTATGTGGTAACCCCATCATAAAGGGCAGTGTCTCCCCCAGGTGTCTAGCACCTCTGGGCGCATGCAGTCTAGACCACAAGCACTCTTTCTCAAGAGTTCTTGGCTCCCACATCACTTCCTGCTTCACTGTGGACTTTCTCAATCCTGGTGCGTTATCAGTTGTTGGGTTCCTGGGAACTGCTGAAAGAGGAATTTCTCTTAGGGCAGGGCCTGATTTTGGGGTGCTAAGACCCTGCTTTTGACCTCTTCTGTTTATCTGACTGCACCCATGGGCCTCTGTCTTTGCTAGACTCCAACAGGTGCTGTCCTGAGCAGCCTGGGTCTGGCAGGTGTTGGGATGATGGAGGGGAGTGGTCACACCTTCGGGACTAGCAGCAGGAGTTAGGACAGGAAGGCTACCCCTTCCTGCAGGCCTGGAGCAGATGTCCTGGGTACTGGGCTGTCTCTCAGTCCCCTGAGGGCCATTTTGGAGAGAGACCATCTGGAACCTGCAGCAGGAAGGGTTGGGCCAGATGAGAAACAGAACTTTCTGAGCCTCTGCGGAGAATGGAGGCTGTCAGAGCAGGGAGAAGCTGTGGGAGGCTGTTTCTTGGGCCACTGCTGAGAGGTGAAGAGCATGTGTCCGGGGGGCGGGGGCAGTGACTAGACTGGGCAGGGGCTTGTTAGGCCAAGGACATCTGTCTACATCTCAGAGCCTGCAGAGAAGGGTCGCAGACTTGCCGAGGGAATGTCCTAGGCAGGTTATTGTCCCATCATCTGACTGCTTTTGGGAACACTTGCTTTGGGAGATTGAGAAGGAGCGGGAGGGATGGGCTATTCTAGAAACTGGGACAGCAGGTGAGGTGGGATTGGGAGGACCCGGCAGTCGGCATGCCCATTTGTCCCTGATATGTTCTCTGTGTGACTGGAGAGAACACTGGCGGAGAGGCGGCCAGCCTGGCTGGGTGACCTTGGGAATTGTTACGTGGAATCTCGGGCCCTCAAATCTAACTAAGGTTTTATAAAAAGTTAAAAAATCCCCGAAGACTAAATGGGCTGTGGAGTCCTGGATGGGCTCCTGAAACTAAGGACGTTAGTGGAAAAACCCGTGCAGTCTGGATACAGTCTGCAGTGCCCGGTGATGTACCAGTGTCCATTGCTGAGCTGTGACAAATATACCGCAGTTACATAAGGCGGTGGCGTTAGGGGACACTGGGTGAAGGGTAGATGGGAACTCTCTGTACTATCTTTGCAACTTTTCTGGAAAGGTGAAATTATCCCAACAGAGAAAGTTTATTTAAAGAAAGCCTGTCCCCGGAGTCCAGGGGACCGAGGGATCACAGGGGAGGCGGAGGAGGGCTGGGTTCTGAAGGCTCTGGGCCCGGTGGCCAGCCGCGTGACCTTGAGCAGATGGCCCAGCCTTCCCGAGTCTCTTGTCCTTATCTGCAAAGTGGGAGAGACAGCCCGCATCTCCGAGGGGCGGCGTAGTGCCCGGGTGCGTGGGGCTGCTGGTTCTGTTCTTCACCTCCGCGCTCTCGGTGCAGCCTTGGAGACCCTGGGCTCTCCGCGGCCCCTGTGCAGCCCTTCTTGCCCCGTGCAGCTCAGTCCTCCCTCCGGTGGCCCTTGCCTGACCACGCCTTCCAGCCCGCCCTAGCCGGGCCTGGTGGGGTGGGGTGGGGGGGCTGCCCGGCTCTGAGGTGGGGCTCCTGCCCGCTGACCCTGTGCCCACTGCCTCAGACAGGGGCACCATCCACAAGGTGGTGGAGTCAGGGGAGGGAGAGAGCAGCCTCGTCTTCAACATCATGGAGATCCAGCCCTTCCGCCGCGCGGCCGCCATCCAGGCCATCTCTCTGGACCCCGACCGGGTGAGCCCCCATCCCCCTATCTCTGCCCGGCGGGGCTGCCCAGTGATGGCCAGCTGAGGACAGAGCTGCTTAGTGTGGGCCTTGCGTGTCCGATTGCGATTCGCCTTTCCTCCTGAGCCTACGGTCCTAGGGCTCAGTGTCGGGAGGGGCCCGGCCTGACTGAGTCCTGCTCTCCTTCCAGCGGAAGCTGTATGTGAGCTCCCAGTGGGAGGTGAGCCAGGTGCCCCTGGACCTGTGTGAGGTCTACCGGGGGGGCTGCCACGGCTGCCTCATGGCCCGAGACCCCTACTGTGGCTGGGACCAGGGCCGCTGCGTCTCCATCTACAGCGCCCAAGGGTACGTTGGCTGGGCTCCCTGCTCCCCGGGAGGTCATGCACCAGGAGTGGGGGTTGCGTTGCTGGGCTTTGGGAGGTGCGGGGTCACTCTGCCAGCCACTCCTTCTAGGTGGGCACCGCTACCGCTTTTGGGGGTGACGATGGGAAAGGGGCCAGACCTGGGGCCTCCTGTCTGCTTCACCGCTCTTCTCCTTCTAGCTCCAGGTCATTGCTGCAGGCCATTAACCCCGAGGAGCCACACAGAGAGTGCCCCAACCCAAAGCCAGGTACCGGAGCTGGTCCTGCCTGGGGGCCCTGTGCAGAGGGGGTCCAGCTGGCCCCTGATTGCCCTGTCTAAGATAGAATGTGACCTGATCTGGGGGCCCCGGCTGTGGGAGCTTCTTGGGCATGGGGCCTGGGATGCAGGAAGTGGGAGAGCCTGGAGGGACCGGGGCCAGTTCTATTCATTTAGAAGCCTGGCCCCTGGGGGCCCTCCCTGGGGGCAGACACAGCCTGCCCCGCAGCCCCCCGCCCTGCTCACCACATCCTCTTGCTCCCTGCCTAGACGCGGCCCCCCTGCAGAAGGTGTCCCTGGCCAGGAACTCCCGCTACTACCTGAGCTGCCCCATGGAGTCCCGCCACGCCACCTACTCGTGGCGCCATGAGGAGAACGTGGAACAGAGCTGTGAGCCCGGCCACCAGAGCCCCAACTGCATTCTGTTCATCGAGAACCTCACGGCCCGCCAGTACGGCCACTACCGCTGCGAGGCCAAGGAAGGCTCCTACCTCCAAGAGGCTCAGCACTGGGAGCTGCTGCCCGAGGACAGTGCCCTGGCCGAGCACCTGCTGGGCCGTGCCCATGCCACGGCCATCTCCCTCTGGCTGGGTGTCCTGCCCACGCTCCTGCTTGGCCTGTTGGTCCACTAGGGCCTCCTGGGTGCGGTCTGCCATGGGCTTCTGCAGCCCCAGGGGTATGAGATGGGTCTCATGGCAGAGCCTGCCATGCCAGGAGCTCCTTGCTCACCACTTCTTCCAGAGGGACTGCAAAACACGATGGGGGACACCCGGCTTAGAGCTGGCCAGCCGCAGGCGGCTGCTGGGCCCCGATGGGGTGGGGGCAGTGGGCACCGGAGGATGAAGGCGCTGACTGTGAAGCTGGGGCCTTAGTGACCCAAGACTTTATCTTTGGAGACTATTTTTCAAAAATTCCTCAAACTTGACTAAATGCAATGATGTTCCCAGCCCAAGAGCCCGTGGGCCAGAGAGTGGGGTGTGCAAAGGGGAGCTGGACCTCTCTGGGCCTAGGGGCGGGGCCCTGAGTCCTCTGGACTCTGTGCCCAAATTGCCCCTCGTCCTCCCACCTGCCATCACTGGGGTGGGGTGTTCCTGAGGCCCCAGGCGGCCCTGGCCCTCTGCAGCCCTCGCCAGCCCTGGCCCCACCGGGCAGCCGCCTTGCATGTTTATTGAAGGATGTTTGCTTTCCCAACAGGACGGAAAAAGCTCTATTTTTACGTTAGGCTTATTTCATGTATAGCTACTTCCGACTGCATCTGTATGAAAATACCAAATCTACATGCCGGGGTGGGGTGGGCGAGGGAGGGGCCGGGGAAGGGGTGGGGTGTGGGGCTTCCCAGTCTGAGGCTCCCAGGGATGAGATAAGCGTCCAGGGGCGGATATGAGTTCTGGGAGAGTGGCATGAGCTGGCTCTGCCCTGGGAGCCCAGTCTGAGGGGGTGCGGTCCACTCGCCCCATGGGGGTGGGGGTGGGGGCGATCTGGGGGGGTCGGGATGAGGGAGTCAGGGGAGAATGAAAGGAAACTGAGCCCTAGATTCACCACATTCATTTCGAAGGAGGAGCCGGGTCCTCAGGGGGAGGTTCCAGGACTCTGCCCTTGGCATTGGGGGTTGGGGGGTGGGGGGACCCCTCCCCTCCCCTCAGCCCCCTTCCCCAGGGGCTGTGCTTCCATGCTCCTAGCCTCCCGCCTTCAGCTCAGGACATGTTATAACTTAGGCTAAACTGTGAATTCCGGTGGGGACAGCCTGGGCCAAACACCCAGGTGGTGGCTCTGCCCCCAGCCCTGTCCATGGATTTCAGCAGAGAGCTCTGGCTGGGTCTTGCCACCAGGGCCTGGGGCCGATGAACTTCCAGCTTTGGCCCCTGCATCTCTTCTCAATGCACTTTAATAATGTAACATATTACTAATAAAGCTATTTATTTACCTGTGCCTGCTCCTTGCCTGCAAAGCTGTCCCGGTCTGGGAGTGAAGGTGGAGGCTCCTGTGTAGGACCCTGCGGCGCCTCTGCCTATGTGAGCATCGCACACGCTCTTGCCTGTCCCTCTCCTGAGAGCCCAGGAGATGCTCACCCCACTCCCGGCTAGTGAGAGGCAGTGCTGGGGTGTGAACCCCCAGCTCCTGAGCATTGTGCCGCCTGCCAAAGCCCGACTCCGGGACCCAGGCAGCGCCTGTCCTCACACCCCAGAGTCGTCCGCTCCCCCTCCCCAGCCTCACCTGCAGCTTCTCCTGGGAGACATTGCGCAGCCATCCTAGAAATGACCTTGGGGGAGGAAGAGCAGATCAAATAAGACCCTGTGGGATGAACGTGCAATGATAGACGTGTGCGGGGGAGGCGTGGGAGGTGGGGGTATCTCAGAAGGTGAGGCCTGAGGGGGACCCACCCGGCAGGGCATGAGTCAGGGAGTTTGAGGGAGTCGAGGAGCACTGGGCTGGGGACAGCCGTCGGACCCCATCTCCGTCCATGATGGCGGGTGGACCTTGCCTTCTCTGAGCCTTATTTTCCTCGGGTGCTCACAGGAAGGGTCTTGCCCCGGGCTGCTGCGGAGCCCCTTCTTTCCTTCTTCCATGCTCTTCTGCGTCCTGACACCAATTTACTTTGTCTTGGCGGGAGTTCAGAGCCTGGGTCTTGGCCGTGTCTGTCTGTCTTCCCGGTCACACCGAGCAGCAGCCCCACCTGCGCGTCTCAGGCTCACCCAGTGAGGGCGGGGCAGTGGGTTCCAGTCGTGTGTGAGCCTCCCAGCTCGTGGAGAGAGTGGATTGCTGGGCCACCTCCAGCTCCCTGCCCTCTCTGGACCTCAGCAGGCTCCCTCTTTGCTGTGGGGGTGCTCTTAGTGCCCTGAGGGGCCTTGGGACCGAGGGGACTTGAGAGACAAAACAGACTCCTTTGTCTCTAAGGAGGCCCCAGGAGAGGCCAGGCAGGCGGGAAGCTGTGTGCAGTGAGGCATGAAATGAGCCCGTGTAAATCCCATGTAAATGAGCTGGCAGGGAGGGGGCAATCGGGCACATCTCCTGCCCTGCTTTCCTCTGATGGGCAAGCGACACGGTGGCAATGAGTGAAGGGTCACGAGGCTGGGCTCCGGGAGCGCTGAGATATCATGATGCCGGGGTGGGCTTCCCGAGTGCCAGGCTGGAGACAGGAACCTGGCCATCCTCTGCCCTCTGTCCTGGGCATCCCCTGACGGGGAGGAGGAGAAGGGAGAGGAGGGGCAGGACTGAAAGGCCACAGAGCTCAGCTCCTGATGTCTCCCTCCCTCCCCTTCATAAATCTAAATGGCCGCTAAGGTTTCCCTGGGTGGGTCTGCACCTGCCGCCCCGTGTCCCTTTGGGGGAAGGTCCTCATCTCTGTGTGTGTGACACCCTTTGACAGTCCTTCACCTGCACACAGGTCTGTCCTGATGTCCTGACCCAGAATTCACAGCCCTCCCAGCCCCTGACTTCTCTATGCTCAGCTCCCCCCAGTCCTCACCTACCACCGCTGGACACACTTCGTGTCTTTGCTCCTGTAAGTCTTTCCCCAGAATGCAAGGAGGAAGATCACAGGTGGAGGTTCCAGAGTGACCTTGACTTTTCAGAGTTCTCTGTGCATGTGTGAGCATGCATGCACGCACGCGCGCACACACACATACACACACACACACGTGTGCTTGTGCGCCTCTGTCTGCTGAGTCTTCAGCAGGTGGGGCCTTGGGGGTGCACCTGGAGTCAGGCCTGAACCCTCTGGACCCTCACAGCCTGGGAGGGGAGGCACATGTGCAGCTGGTGGTGACCACGCATGTGGCGATCCCAGATGGGAGGGTACAGATCTGTTTGGGGGGGTCAGAGAAAGCTTTGGTGTGCCCTGAGTCCCCAAGTAGGGAAGTCACTGAAGCATCAAAGAGGGGGCTGGGCGTGTGAGGGCTTGACTGCAGTCGTGTGGGAGACAGGAAGGCACAGAGGATCTTGTCCATTTTATTCACAGCTGCGTCTGTAGCCCCTAAAACAGTGCCTGCAACGCCATCATGTTGAGAAAATGAATGAGGTGGAAGGGAGACTATAAAAGTGGAGCTGACGACAGTCAGAACTGGCTCCCGGGACCTGAGGCCCCAGATCTTTACCCTGCAGATTCTAGGAAGCCCTTGAGGATTTGAACAGCTGGAGGGGGCCTGATGATGAAGATAAAGACAACAGGGACATGAGAGCCAGTTTTTCTCACCCCTCTTCCCTGCCTGCCTCATTCCAAGCTCACATTCATTCCTCAAATAATTTTTGAGCACCCACTATGTGCCAGACACCATGCTAGGTGCTATGAACAAAAAGGACAAAACTCCCTTTCCTCACAGGGAGGTTCTGTCCAATGGAAGTATAATGTGAGCCACAGATAATTTTTTAAATTTTTTTGTGATCACATTAAATAGAAGTTACAAGAAACAGGTGGGGTTTCCAGCATTTCCAGCTGCCTCCGTGGCTCAATTTTAGCCTCTCCTTGTCTGGAAAAACAAGTGCATGGTCCAAGATCCCAAACAGGGTTGCGGCTCAGAGGTTTGCAATCATGGGCTCAGAGGTTGCAATCATGGATTGAGGATGAAATAGCTAACTCAGACTCAGAAAACACTCTCCTGTTGGTGTTGGCTAGCTGTGGGAGGAAGAGGCCTTGGGAAAAAACAAAAACAAAACCCACATCCTCAGGTCACCATTGGCCTGCAACTTTATCCAGCTCGCTGTCGGGGCCCGCCCCGCCCGCTGCAGACATCACTAAGCAATTGAGGCATTCCTTTCTCCTGAGTTCAGATGAGAGATTTTCTCTAGAACTGCATTCTCCAAAGGTTCGGAGCACTTGAACGTGGCTCATCTGAGTGGGAGATGAGCTGGAAGGACAAAGAACATACTGGATTTCGAAGATGGAATATGAAAACCAAAAGTATTTGTCATATCGGTAGATTGTAACATTGATGATACGGAAATAAAAGTGCCTGGGATAATAGATTAAGTAAAATATACAAAAAGTTAATTCCACCTGTTTCTTGTAACTTCTATTTAATGTGGCTCCAAAAAAAATAAGAACTATCTGTGGCTCACATTATATTTCTCTTGGATAGCACCTCTCTGTGAGGGAGGGGAGTTTTGTCTTTTTTGCTCACAGCATATAGCATGGTGTCTGGCACATCGTAGGTGGTCAGAAATTATTTGAGGAATGAATGAATGAATCCTCATCAATACTGCTTTTCAGGGATCCACCACTCACTGGTTGCATGGAACACATTTGCCACCCTAAGCTTCTAGTAGCTCTGGCAGGGTGCTAAAATTGGCACCCCTCCCCCATCTGTGCTCTCCAACTTCAGAGCTTGTGTCATCTTCTCCCAATCTCCAGATCCCCTGGAGGGGCCTGGAGGTGGACTGGGGTGGGGTGAGGGAGTGCTGAGAGGGGGCTTCTACCTTCTTGTGGTGAGGAAGCAAGACAGCATGCGAAAGATATGGACATCACCTCCATTGGGCGTTTGCATATCTGGGGGACCTGGGATGCTTCCAGCTCACTTCCTGGCTCCAGCTCCTGGTCTGTCGGGACAAAAGTGGAAGCTCTGGAGACCTTGACTTCCACAGGGAACGGGGCTTCCTCAGTCTTTCCCCAGTGAGCAAGGGCTGTAGCCCCAAGCATCCTTGTCTCTGCAATCCAGGAGAAGCCTAAAAATAGTCTGCTGTTCCAGCCTCCCCCACAGTCACCCGCGCCAAGCCAGGCCCTGCGCCTGCCAGCTCCGCAGCCCAGACAGTCTGCGTGGTCTGCTCCAGCCAGCGACCCCCTTCTTCTCGGCCCCGGTCCCATCCGGGCCCCTGGGGACCTGAGCTCAGTGCTTTCTGCTGTCAGCTATGAAGGAGCTGCTTACTGCTCTGCCCTCTGTAGCAGGCTGGCCCTGACCCCTGAACCTCCAAACACCACGCTTTGTCCAGTCTCCCGTGATCAGGATGTGGGGATGCTAGCCAGACACAGAGGCGAGGCGGCGTGAGGGTATTCTAGGCAGTGGCGCCAGTGCATGCAAAACCAGTGGTATGAGATGCAAAGCATGGAACAGGACGAGCTGAGTAGATGGGCTGAAGGCACAAGACGGAGCTGCATGCCAGGCCCAGGGGAGGAGGCAGTAGGGCGGGTCTGCCGGCTCCCATCCCAGGCATGGGTCCTCTAAGTGTCTGTCCTGCTCCACAGGAGCCCCAGGCCTTGCCACTCTGCCCAGAGCTTGTGTAGAACCTGGGGACACTCTCAGTCAGTCTGGGTCTTCTGCATTTCTGATTTGTGGGAGGCCCTGGTGCCTTCCTGGTCTGAGCTCTGG